GGGGGGGCGATCAATAATAGCATCGGAAGGAGGCTCGTCCTGTACAGGATGAACAAGCAGGCCCCTGGGCAAGATGCTGCCCTTCCCCACGACAGGGCCATACACCAGCCACCTGAGTGAGGATGCAGGTGGTCAGTGCCTACCAGACGATTGCGGACTGCTACGAGAGGGCGCCAATGTCCCTGGAGATAGATAGCCTTGAAGACGGAGTTCAGGAGGAGCGTCAACCACACATCACCGCCGGGTTGATCATCGACCCGTGCGCCACGTCCGCGGACTGCCGCGCGGCCACGGCTGTCATGGTGATCAGGTCTGGAGTCCACATCCGGCCTACGCTTGGTTCGAGTCACTCGCCGCCAAGTCGAACCAGGCTCGGATGCGAGCCCAGGTACATACGGCATGTCGTTCATCGTCGGCCTCAGACCCATCAGGTTCAAGCTGACCCCAGCCGGTGTCGGGGTACGTGACGAGGAACTGGGGTAAGGAGAGAGCCTCGACCTTGAGACGCTAAAGACCACCTTGAAGATCATCTAGACCCCGGACCCGGACATGAAGACGGAAAACTACACGCAGTCGTTGATCGGCGGGACCACCTACAGCCCCGCGTGCACAGTCGCGTTGGCGAAGGTGAGCAAATTGTACGGTGGAGAAGAGAGAGGCACAGTGATCCTGGACGTAGTCACGTAGCCTGAACGGGCTCATTACCACCGACAGACACACGACGATTAACAGCAACGCCACCATGAACAGCAAAGACAACGCCACCAAGAGCGGGAGTCCGGTCAGGAACAACGTCCAGCCCCCGACCAAGGACGCAGTCAAAGGACACGACCAAGGACCAGGCCACGAACAGGACCGCGAATATGGACCCGAATGTGGGTGGGACCGGCGTCGGCACCGAGACTGGGACACGAAGATCGAGACAGCCGGGTCCAAGACTCGCCCGGCGACAAAACCGCGAAGACGGACAAGTTGAGGGAGAGTGCCAACGCCGCGAACGAGAGCAAGTTGATAAACCAACATGAACAAGCTGGAGCTGTTCGCCTCCACGAAGGCGGGGGAGTGGAAGACGACGGCCGCCCCCCTCCCCCTCCAAGCTCGCGCGACCATCGAGGTGGACGAGGACGGGTTCATGGTCTCCGGCAGGAACATCGGCGCAGAGCAGAGGGAGCCAGAGTGGTCGAAGGACTAGTTGGCCGTCATCAGGCAGATGGCCGCGACCACGCTCCAAGTGGTGCCCGTGAAACCGACACCAGACGCAGCGTCATCGACCCGATGGGTGAGTACGTACGTCGCGAGGGACGACACGGGCACCATCGTACCCACCGACAAGGCCTACGTCTCGAACCTGGACCCGAGCCAGTCAGTACTTACTGCATCGGGGTCGGCCCCCAGAAACACGATACCACCGAGTCCCTACGCTACTATACAGACGTGGTTATGACCGACATCAACGGCAACTGGCTGGTCAACCAGTGGACCTCGAAGGGGGTCGTGATCGAGGTGGGCGTGTCCAACCGCGTGCTCATGCAGCAGAACAGGACCGGGAACACGAGCGGGCGTGGGCCTGCCGGCCGGTGTACGCATTCGGGCCTCTGTTCAACACGTTGAAGACGCAGTACCCGGGCACCCTGACTGACCCATGTGGCGACCGCACAGAGGGGTAAGTACTACTGGATGAATGCGTCCTGGGATGTGCAGTCGTTCCTGGGCACCTTCGCGTGGATGGACGGCGAGTCGTTGCAGAAGACCAACACCCTCGAGTGGACGTGATGAGGATGTTGAACGGCAGGTCAGGTCGTCCCTGTGCCTGGCCACCATCGCCATCTTCTCGATCACGACTCCGGTGATCGAGGAGAAGGTGACCCAAGACACGAGCAGCTACGTACGGCCTGAGCATCAAAGTTTCACAACGCGTTCCACATCGAGAGACCGTGGACTACCACCACGGGGCCCCCGCAGCAGGGCTCGACGGGCACGAGGATCCCGTCAAGCATCGCGGCCAAGGCCAGGCCCTGCAGGACCTTGACCAGGCCCGGGAGGCCCGGGATTGTGAGCGTGGGCAGCGGCGGCGGTATCTTCGCGAACGCGAACAAAGAACCTGTTCCAATCAGAGCGCCGTCGTCGCCGGAGATCACCTCTTGGAAACGACGCCAACTACATGTAGACGGTCTAGCCCGCAGTGCTGACGATGAAGAGGGACGTGTTGGTTGATCCACAGAGCGGTGACGAGGAGGAGAAGAGGAGAAAAAAGAAGAAAAAGAAGGGGGAAGAAGAATCATCCTCGGAATAATGCCACGATAATGAGGTTTCAAGAGGCATCGACGGGGATGAAAGTCTGGATGGATCGCAAAGCCCATCACGCGGCCGCACCCCAGCTACACTTGTTACACGAACTCGACCCCTCCCGGGCCTCGGATGCCCACCCTGTCGACGGAAAGGGGAGGCGACGACGGACGTGGGCACAACCGGCCAGGCATGAGCAGGCAGACTACAAGCGTTAGGCGGCCGTCAGCACGGCACAATAACACGTACACGTGGCACCGCCGCCACCTGAACAGGGACAAGTCCACGCTTTAACCACGCACGCAGCTGTATACCATCTAGCCCGTATCGCCACCGTCTATAGGCAGAACTCCCCGACCACCACTCCGCCGAAACGCTGACGGACAGACAACCATGAGCACGGCCGTCGACGAGCACAGCAGCAACAGTGCGGCGAGCATGTGAACTACGCCTTGTCCGAGAAGGTGGCCACATACCCGATCGAGACCATAAGGAGCACCCCTGTACTCGATCGCCCTCGACGTGTCGGTCAAGAAGGCGTCGAGGCTGGTGTGTTCAACCCCATGACCACGTTGGTGTACTACGACGGGCATGTGGAGACGAACTTCTACGATAACTCGGAGCTGTCGGTGATCAGCACCATGATGATGAACATTAGGTACCTACCCGGTGACCAGCGCCTACGAGATCAGATGTATGGTTACGGTACTGGTGTATCTGGAGGAAAGGTGCTCTACGCCAGGACCACGGCCTCGGTCTCGGGACATCAGCGACGATATGGTCGTATTCAGCGACTACTCGGTGGGCAAGATAAAGTACGCACTTACGGACATTAATGACTCATGGTCATGAAGCGGGATCACGAGTCCCTTAAGGTAACCAAGATGGCGGGAGGCGGACAGGAACGAGGGCCTAGAGATGCTCAACAGCTGGAAGGAGTACAAGCACAGCGACAAAACCAAGGCCAAGGACGAGCCTGTGTGCGACTCCGGGTAGGCACAGCTCGAAGGTGATGTCCAGGTCCAACAGCACCGCCTAGACCGGCTACATGTGTAGGGTCCCGTACGCAGTCACGCGCGCTGACATGCGCAGGGCCGTGGGGGTGTTGGGGGAGGGGAGCATCGCATCCAGGAGACCACGTACACCTACCTGAAGGTGACCTAAAACAACTGCATTTTCAGCTGCATGTCCATGTCCAGAATAAGCATACGACCGCAGGGCGACATCTACAGCAGGAAGTTTTCGGTCAACATGACCACTGACGGGAAGGCGTCGGGTACTGGAAGCAGTGGGAGTTGACGAATATGGCCCTGACCTGCACTATGTGCAACGTTACGTGCATCTTCTCGAAGGAGCGGACCGACCTGGACATGGTCAGAAAGCCGGACCCGACCGGGACGACGATCATGTACTCGACGTTGGCCCGTTGGTGCGGAGGTCTCCAGAATGAGCAAGAACATCTGCACCACCATGGCCTGGACGGAGAGGGTAGGACGACCGACGGCATCCCTCCCAGGATCAGGACCATGGCCGACACCTCGGTGGTGGAGGCGGTCTGGGACAAGATCAGACGCGAGAGTGTCATCCAGGCGACTGTGGAGATGGTCAGCGGGTTAGAGGTGTTGTCGGACGGGGAGAGAGGTTCAATCCCACGGTCAGGGGGCTGATGGCGGTCAGCTACGGCGTGCGAATCAGAGTCATGTACATCGGCCTGTACCCGTACGAGGAAGACATCTTACCGCCCATCGCGACCTTGCTAGCAGACGACCCCACGAAGTGCTACGGGTCCAGGTCCTGAGCCAGGGCATGACTATGGTCGGGCAGCAGGGTGATGAACGGAGTCGTGAAGCAGGAGGAGGCGCGCCGCCCGGCCTCAGATCAGCAGCGAGGGCGCGCTGAGGTCCAAGTTCGCGAAGCTGCTCAGGTGCTCTTATATGTCCACGGTAGTAGGCGTGGCGGCGTTCGTCAACTACGTACCTGCGCCCGTGGACAACGCCGCGAAGAAAGTCAGGTACGCGTCGCTGTTTCTCGGAGTGGCTCGCGAGGAGGATGATCAGGATACACGACTCATTCCGGTTCAAGATGACCATGCATGGCCTACGAATGGAAGATGTACCCGAAAGAGATCGATCCTCAACGACTTCTTGAAAGAGGACAGCATCAGATCTCCAACTAACACGAGCACTTCTCAACTGCACTATCGAAGAGCTCTACATCCCGTTCTCGAACATGGCCGGGAACCTGTTCGGCAACATGAGCGCTGTCCGCAACGTTTTCAAGCCCGGGGCTCTCTGCCCGACGTCGACAGGGGCCATCTCCGCGAGACAGGGTCAGCAACAGCAGCAGCAGCAGGATAACGGTGCTGTCACAAACCAACCAGAGCGGGAACGTGGTCACGAACGAGCGCCAGTTGTTCGTCACGCGCAACTCCATCAACGGCCAGATGACCAGCGGACGCCTCGGGAAAGTCGCAGTCGCAGCAGGTCATGGTCCTCGAGAATATGATGACGAAGCTCCACGATGTCTTGGAGTCGTACAGGACCAGTCCAGGGATGTGGTCCTGGCCAAGCTCGAGAGCAAGATCGACATGCTGGTGGACAGGCATTCGGTCGAGGACGAGGAACTCGACGAGGTCGTGACCATAATCAAGGAGAGGTACCCGGTCGACCTCGAGGAGCTCGAGAATACCACGTCGGTGGTCGCGGCCATGCCCGCCGTCATCAAACGGGAGATCCAGCCCGCGGCGCCGTTGATGCGCAGGCACGACGGCTCGACCATGAGGGACATCGTGTACGAGCAGGTCATGGCGGACAGACGGTCGGGCGTCGCCCAGAGCAGGAACCCGCCGTCGAGCATGGGTATCTTCCAGAGTCCGAACGCCGTTCAGGACATGACCACAAACATGAACAGAGGCGTGGTCGGCGTCGTGAACATGGGGGATGTCGCAGAGTGCGGCCACGAGCGCCGCCGCTGTCGAGCAGCACATGAGGATGCTCGGGAACAAGGCGAAGAAGGATCTCTTCATGAGCGCCGTCGAGGAAGCGTTGGGCCGTTGAACATGGATTACAGACACTAGTCATTGCTATGGGCCCATTATATAGCGACCGCGATGTTGGAAGCGCGAGATACGGCAAGTCCTCTAATGCGTGGTCCAAGTATATGAAAGGAGCTTCAGGTCGATTTGCAGAACATACAGGTCGCGGTGGCCGACAAGCAATTGTTTTGACCAAGCCACCGCCAGACATTTACAGTCGGAGAGAGTGGTCCAACTATCGATGCTTAGAAGAACCGATCTTGACAGGAGCCTTCGGGGGCGCAAGGGCCATCCAGATCTGCTACAGTATGTCCACCCAACAATCAAGGGTGCGGTCGCTTTTTCAATATCAGATCTGGCCTCTCAATAAATCGGACGAGTGGGACAGTCAGATCTCTTTTCTCTGGTCAATCCCTCCATGGTCAATCCCAGTCCAGGCGATCTCTGGAAAGTGGCATGCTACCCTCGACAAAGCCGTCAGAAGCGTCGCCGCCATCCACTTCTCCTGCCCGCGTCCCTTCGATACCGATTCGTCCTCGTCCAGTCAAGCTACACAGGCTTCGTGGTCGATGCAGACAAGGGATACATACAAACCGCCATGTCGTCGGTCCTGGGCCCTTTTATAGGTTATTGCGTCTTTGACAACCACGAGGAGGTCAGTTTTGCGTCTCAATAACTTGACAATTGGGCTGAACGGAGAACGTCGTCGAGACGATCTCGACGTACATCATCGAGGACGAGGGCATGCAGATGGACATGGTCGAGATATTGCGGGGCCGACGGCTCGACGTCTGCAGAACTCCATAAAGTCGATCATCGAGATGATGGACCCGCCCACCGCCTAGACCATGACCGAGCTCGGCAGGATGATGAGGAAGGTGACCGAAGACTCGGAGGAGATCGTGGCCTTTTTCGACGACGACTGACCCGCTATGATTATGTCGGTGAACATGTGCACCACCGTGGAAACGCCCGACCGCCACTGACCGTGTGTGGATGCTGATGCCTAAAACTCCCTCCTGTACAACAACAGACTCACGGACTCGTCCATGGACCACGATCTGATCGTGGACTAACTACATGATGGTTGTGTGCTCGGGAACGGCAGGGGGGGTCCCTGACCCTGAATGTGTTGAGGCCGACGGAGGTGATGAAGGCCTCGGACGGGGCTGCTGAAGACGAGACAGGCCATGCGCCAGTTGGTGACCGCGTGTTTGGTCACATGCATGAGGGCGTCCGCGTCGCTGAGGGCGTCGTGCTGCACATGCTCGAACCAGGGGCGCGTCTTTGTTCGCCAACACGGCGGCCAGAGTGGCGGTCCCGTCCGGCACCGTGACGACCCTGAAGATCGGCAACGAGTCAGCGTTGGCAACCTCCACTTGGTCGGCCTGATGCCCCCACACCATCTATCACAAACAGCGCAGGGATCCGAAGTGAACCGCACGAGAGGAGCATGCTTTATAGAGTGGAGAAGCATACTCCTACGCAGCCTTCAGTAAAGGGGGTTGAAAGGCCACTCTGGAACATACCGAGCCGGACGAGCCTAAACCGCCCCCAGCCACTTGTAAACCGAAGGAGAAAAGGATGCTTCTCAGATGCGAGGAGCATGCTTTTCTTATGCTTCAAGTCTTGTCACTACCATACGTAAAGGGATACTTATTACTACGGAATCGACCCATCGCTGAGTACTGCCTATCTCCAGTAAGGCATTCCTGATACCATCATGGTCTTCATGGGCAGAACGTGGCCATGACACACATGCCGTTATGGGCCACGAGCACGACGTCGGACTCGGACCCGGTCTGGTTCGTCTGCTTGTGCCTCATCACTCTGTTCACCCACACGATGAAGTTGTCCAGCGCCGGCTTGGGCTCGGTGGCCACCACTATGTAGATCTACCATGGGCGTGAACCTGCTAATGATCGGGCTGTTAACCCTGCAAGATGATCCTTCTTTTCGAAGCTGAAAATCTCATCCAAAGTGGTGTGGCGAATGCCCAACTCGATCGATTTCTGTGCTCTCAGGGGCACGGTACCTCGAACTTCTCTTCAAAAGCTTGTTGCCCACGGTCCCTGGACAGGCCGCAATCAGCACAACCCTTCGACCCGGAGCGGCTGGACTATCTCGCATTCAGCAATTGGTTGCCACCCCAGGTCCGAGAGGATTTGACAGGGATGCTTCGCAGCCTGGAAAGAAACGTTTCAGGAACAAATGCAACCGCTGCCGAACACCGTCGAGTTCGATGTCGCATCCGCCATGCAAAGCTTGAGTGACGGAGAAAGCTAGCTTTCGATTTGGGTAGCCTGGCGAGGGATCTTTGCGCTCTGTTGATCGCCAGGCGAAGCTGGTACTCGTAATGGCCCGCGGGCTCCCTAGCGAATGAGCGCACCAGCCAAGTCGCGAGAGCTCCGTTGACTTGCGCGGCTTCTCGTCATGCGCCCTGCATCGCTTCATCAATCACCAGAGCATCGGAACTTCCTTTCTCCCTACTCTCACCCACAAGCTTTATGGTATGGCCTCCTCCACACCCAAGAGGTCGGTTGGAGAGTCTATTCTCCGCCAGTATGCCGAACATTCAGATCCCATTGACGCCGACGGCCAAACGCATGCCGTGCGCAGCTTGGTCCACGCGGAGCCCGATCCCGTGAGCGAGAGACCATACTCCTGAGGAACAGTCCTGAACCATCTGTTGGCAAAGTCTGGCGCCTGTAGGGGCGAGAAAAACGGTGTGCGATAAGAATGAGCCAGCAGTCAAGCCAACCGTCTGTGCCCGTCGAGGCATATGAAAATGTTCTGAATTGACAGCAGCGAAATGGCCCATCCGTCCACTGCGACGTCCTGAGTGGCACACATGAAGACCAAAAGGAACCACCAGCCAGTAAAGCTCCAGACTCCAGCTCCATCATTGTCGCCTGTAGCTCTCATCAACTCATCAATCTGACCTCCAAGGTAAATCATGGAGATCCCTATGTGACCCCTTTGACGCAGACAGACTACTTCTGGACTGGGTCTGGTGTTCTACCAAGTCGCCGAGATGGACATTTAGAGGGACAGTGCCCTTTTCTACTGCGAGAAAATCAAGGAGGCCGGTGGCCAAGTCAAAGCGGGTCAGCGTTTCTCACGTCCCTAGCAGATGGCTAGGCGGGTCTGTTTTGGCGCTGGCACGCAGGATTTTAGTACTGGCGAAGGAGACGAAAGGAGCGACGACCCCGGAATCTCGATTGGCATTAGATGTTCAGGCTATCGAACCCCCCACTGCGTCAGCACTTCAGATTTTGGCTTCTGGCCCACATGCCAGATTTTGTCGCCCCTTTTGCAACAACACCGCCCAACCACGACCCTCTCGCCACAATCGCCAAGCTCACGCCCCTGTCAGTGTGCAGAGGGACGGTGTGCAGGTGGAGGTGGAAGTTCTGTAGAAGGAAACTACAGCATCTCGTGCCTCATGACTCTACTGCCCAGTCGAGAGATCCGGAAGAAGCTCTGCGGGGTGTGTTTTCTTCGCTACCGTTGCAGACGCGGTCGATTCTGGTCGAGATGTGAGATATCGTTCGACGGAAGCGGCATAGGATCCTGACAGATCTGTACAAAGGGATGTTGACGCGTCGACGCCATGACGAAAAGTGGTGTAGAGTATTCACAGATGCAGGACAAGCCACTTGAAGTGCTGTCGACCCTGCTCTGCCCTGTCATTGGCACCTCAGCTGCGCTGTTGGCGGAGCACTCTGGACATGTCAGGACGATTGGCCTCTTTCATCCTCTTGTCGGTAGGTAATTTTCAGTGGGAACCAACCAGGAGAAGGGCCCCCCTACCCCAAAGGGCTTACCGCGAGGCAAGAATTGCAGGCTCATGCCCAAAGCCAGGCCCCGGATGAGTGGGAGATGTAAGGCCTGGAAATCTTTGAAAAGGGACTAGGTTGCCACGGTAGGGTGGTATTGACAGTCTCATTCGCAATCCTCATCTTTGGAGCTGGGATCGAGGTCGCTAGGTATCAGTCCCTGATCCCTAAATTCCAAGAGACATTGAAGGAAAAGAAAAAAGAACGGCAGAAGCGAAAATTCAAAAGACTTCACCACGACAAGAGCCTGCGGACCGAGAGACCGACAGCAACAAGGGCGGCCGTGGCAACGAGTTGGCATACGGCGAACTCATGAGACTCTGGCAACCCCCAAACCACCAAATGATTGATTTCTACGGAGGCAATGACAAACGGTGACAGCTCATGGCAGCTTGATTCCCGGGTTCGAGGATGTGTGCGGGGATGACTATCCGATGTGGATGCTGATTCCACCATGTGCCATCGCATGCCCGGTCCAGTCCAACTACCCAGCGAAGCCTGAAAGACACAGTGCTTCATTGTCACCCTTCCGGCGCTGCAACGGTTCTTTCGTCAAGTCGAAACACCACATGTCTGGAACTTCCTCCTGCAGCTGATGCCAGAGTGATTCTCCGTACTGTGTCATGACTGAGCCAAGTCCCTGGTCTTGGACTCATATACCGACGCTGAACCCCATCGTGGTGTTTGTTTCCCCCCTCCGTGACGAAGTAGATGGACACCGACCCCGTGATCTGAAGTGAACTTCGTCGTTCATGGCTCAGGACCGTCGAGAATCGAGGATTGTCCATCCCGCCGCCCATCTCGCACTGGCTTACATGCCGTGCCGTACAATCAGCACTTGACAGTCCACCCTAGATGGCAACCAAGTGGAGGCGGTATGTCACACAAAATCTTTTGTCGAGTCACAAAAACCTTAAATTATTTCCTCTTTCGGAAATGGTTTTTCCGAAAACGGAAAGAGACTCTTGGCATCACTGATCTCGCTTTTGGCTTGCATGTCCTGCCGTAAGGATTGCACTTGACGGTCCACCCTACATGATAACTAAGCGAGGCTGCACGTCACGTGTGCATCACATGTCAGGCTGAAATTCCTGCCAATTTATCAATTTCAGTAAAAAACGCTGTTTGTCGGGTCACAAACATTTTAGCGTATTTCCTAATCTGGAAATGATCCTACCGAAAACGGAAAATCGATCTTGGCAGCACTGGCATTTCAGGCTTCGTCCACCGCCATCCCCCCCAAACGTCTCAAAACAGCGCCATGGATGGCTGAGCTCTTTCCCTGGACTGCCTTGTCAGTTGTAAAGAGGAATCTTCGACGATGATGGGTTTTTTCGAGACGCAAGGACTGAGCGTGGGATCGAGTGCGAGGCTGTGTGGCAGATCCGCAAGGCCCGCGGCCAGACCGAGTCACTGTCACTATACGGAGACGAGCTGCCCGTCGATTCTCTCCGCTGGCGGTTGACGTTCCATGGCTGTTGTGCTGGATGTGTGACCCTTCGAAGACCGGTCCGTCGGGTGTGTGGAGCGTTATGGCGGTGATTCGACTTCCGACTGGGGTAGATGCATTTGTCTCCCATCACCTTCTTCGCCGGTCGGTGCTCCCTACGTTCAGTTCTCTATGGAAAAATCGCAGAACCCACCGAATGCCCTCGGCCAGCTTGCAAATCCAAGGACAGTATGGAGAATATCCACAATCGGGGTATATCTGCGGACAAGCAAGTGATTGAAATGCCCCACGTCACCGATCAGTCATCGAGAAGAACCTTCCGAGGTGAGGGTCAGGTGTACTTTCGCTCTGTCTGCCAAACCTTTGCCATTGTGATAGCCACTGGTGGAAAACAAGACGCGTGAAGAGACAGAGGACCGGGCGAGGGGGCGGTGTCAACTTTGATGCGAGTCCATGGCCGTCCCAAGTGTGTCGGGCACCGGATCCCTCATGCTCATGGGGGGGTAATGAGGGTCATTGAAGCATGGGAGACCTCTCCGATTCTTACGGAAATGGCAGGGAACCAGTACCGGGCACTGGGTGGCGTCGACCTCAAACATGATCAGTCAAGTCCACACCCTTTCTCTCCTCTTGTTCCTCTTTTCCCTCTCACGGATCTATGGAGCCGCCGGAAGAACTGCTTCTCATCATTGCCGCAGATGGAGCCTCACAGTCGTTGCATGCACTGCAATCGACCTCCAAACACTTCCACCGCGATTGCCAGCCTCTAATCTATTCTGACAGCACATCCCTCTTTCTCTCTCCCGTGGACCACTGCTGGTGAAGACCATCTACGGCAGACCAGAGATAGTCATAACAAAAGCCTTCAGCATTCATGCCATTGACGAATTTGGCGATTATGAGAGAGCCTCATCTACCCAGGTCAAGACTCTCCGTGTTGAAGATATCAACGAGCCTTGAGAGAAAGGACTCCCAACCGTTTACTAGGATTACCTCCTCCCAATCGGGTTCTCATCCTCTCCTCTCAAGAACTGGAACGCAAGTCGAGAAGCGTGGCTTGCCTTGTTGGTGTCTCCCTTGAATCGAATCAACTTGAGAGTCTCGAATGGAATATCAAATCGGAAAAGTCTCATGACAGTGGCTACAATATTTTGATAAAGGGCGCTACATCGAATGCAGACTTGAGCGCTCCGATATACTTCCCTCCCCCGCAATGCCTACAGGTTACCAACCTCCTCTCGATCTCGGTACTTCTGTCCAGGGTCTGTCATTTTCAACGACTGGAGATCGAGCATTACCACTCTTGGTCTCTAAATCCAAGCAATTCAACCCCTCATCTCGAGTGCTTCAGGTATCTCCGCCAATTTCGTCTCCATTATGGATCAAGGATTCAGAGAGTTGTGGCGCCGACGGCATGATCTCTCAATAGGCTTTTAGAATCGTTGCAGCTGGAGTTCTCTCGAGAGGCTTCGCGAATCATTGGAGCTGGAGTCCTCTCGAGAGGCTTCGCGAATCATTCATTGCAGTTGGACTTCTCTCAAAAGGCTTCCTGAATCACTGCAGCTGGAGTTCTCGCGGATGAGACTGAGAATCCAAGGCCACGCTCGGGGCCGTCCGCCGCCGTGGGGGGCTGCGATCCTCGCCGCTTAGCGAGAGGCGATACCGAGGTATGAGTGAGTAAGAATCAGTCAGTGGCCGTGTAGGCGGCGTAATTTATAGGCGTGAGGAGGAAACGCGTGCGCCGCCGTAGCAGACGGTTAAACGCGGTAGCTGGACTCAGAGTTCCCATGCATGTCGTTGGCCATATCCTGGAGCCACTCGCCTGAAATCGCAAGCCGCGAGAAGAAGTCCTGGCGTTGTATTGGTGGTTCAAAAGCCACCGTACACCAGGGAAGACTCTGACCGATCCCAGAATCTATCCGTCATGCGAGTGCCGGCATTCATGTTCAACCCTTCTTAACCTTTCCGACTCAATTTGTCTGGTAGAGGGTGCTATCAGAGATTCTCACTCTACACATGAGCGCGGATAAGGGGCAGCAGGTTGGAGAGATATACCATTCGTCATCATTGTGTGCAGCTATATACGGAATCCTTCGCTCAGCCCGTCGGACGACTCGACAAGCTCACTCTTCTTTAGCCATCCCTTCCAAAATGGAATGAAGAGGCTCGCCGAAGCTTACCATACACGTAAGGGTACTTTACACATCTCGATCTCAGGGGTGAATAGCGTCTGGCATGCGCGAGAGTTCCAAGAACGGGCTACTAGCGGTCGAGAAGAGCCGTTATGCGATCTCTGGCCAGCATTTTGTCCCTTCGAATGTGTGTTTCTGCCGGGGCAGGACGGGAATTTCAACCACGCAAATCGAACCGAGCAGACATCATTCCCCCATGTCAAGTGAAGATCCGAATGCGGGAGATTTCCATGCTCAATCAACCCGCCTTTCGGCCCAGACTGACTACTTCCAAGGTCAAGCTTTTTCCATTGACGGACAGTGCACGAAACAGACTACGTGGTGCACGTCTCATGGTCCAAAGTCAAATACGACGAAGTTCTCCTCTGCTGGGAGATGAACGGGGAGCCCACTCCCAGCCATTTCACGGCTATCCGGTGAGAATCATGGGTGCTGGGGTATATTGGTGCTCGAATTGTGAAATGGGTGTACAGGATCAAGGCTATTGAGCAATCCTTCACTCTCACCAGTCTAAAGCACAGAAATCTCTATCTCAAGTAAGTTGGTTTGGGACTATTGCCCCTCTTTGCCACCCCCCAGGCTGACCAGAAATAGCCAGCAGGCGGGCAAGCATAATCATCAACCAACAACCAACGGACGCGGCATTCAGATTCAGGAAATGCCCGTGAGCTCCGCCATCATGTCTCCGTGGACGCGTTTCAGGACCGGTACAAACCAATATCAACCGCGGGCCATGTACCGAAATACTGAGCAGTGGAACAGAAAGCAAGAAGTATCAGTCTGAGGTTCGAGGGACGAGGTTCGAGTTGCGAGGTGTGTTCACGTCGCGTCAGCATCACTGGAAAGCCGGAATACAGCTTCTGAAGTCTACTAGAGAGGACTTGAACAGTGGGATGTGTGAAACGGAAGTCCCTATTTTGAACGCGTCGAAATACTAGAGACAATGTGGCCCTTTTTGGTCCAGAGACGACCCCATCAGCAGGAATATCGGAGCCGACCTCTGGAAGACCGCTCGGAGGCGGCTCCGGTGCTCGCCTGTCCGAAGCTGCCTCACAACTTGAAGGCGATTCAAGTGAACTGAAGTCATGGGATAAGGAAGGGTGGATAAAGAGCATCGACATATGCCAGATACTTTTGGTGCTTGGCCGCTGCTACAACGAGGACGTGGTCCTTCTGACCCGGAGAGGTGAAACTCACCATGATGGATGATGCGGAATGTCAAAGTAGGTCTCCTTGCCTACTTCCTGTCTCCAAAACCCCTTGGCCGTCGAGAAGACCTGTGGGTGGCCGAGCGCCTTAGCGTCCTTGTTCAAGTGCCAGGCATCCGGCATGGGAACGTCCTCTTCTTCTTCTTCTTCTGCCCTCCGCGCATCAGAGGCGCCACCTTCCAGCGGCATACCCGCCATGCAGAGGATGAGATCCTCAGAAAATCTCTGTACCACCACCGTTGCCGTGGCATCTTGGTCTCGGTCTCGAACCTGCGATGCCGATCTATCCTCCTCCCCTGAACAACATACCACTACTCCAGACACAGAAAACAGATGGAGAGAGAGGGGTCTCGTAGGCGTCCACGACAGGCAACGCGGCAGTGCTCAAGTGGTCTCAAACAACGATACCCAATATGTTTGAGGGCTTTGAATCACTTTACAGCTCGCCTCGACGGTGAGCCGCTTCCACGACAAGCAGTAAGGTTAGGTCGGAGCGAGGTCAGCGTTATCTCCGAGGATGCGGTGAGGAGGATGTCGATGAAGCCGTCGTACGCGGTATGTTTCGAGTTGTACGGGTAGGTGCCGTCACTCCGTCTGCACATACCCTCCTGACAAGCTAGTAGGGTCCTCAAGATGTATGCCATGACGGAGAGAACAGAATGTAAGTGGAATAACTTGATTGATTGATTGATCAGGTAAGGAAATCTATTTAGCGCACCTGCGGACTTGTCGTGTGCCGAGGTGGGAATTATTCGGCTAATATTCCCGATATGGTTAGCGCAACAACGCAGACGGCTGGTCTCTACCAAAACTGCGCTCATCTCTTCCGCCACCCTGTGCTGAGATTGACCTGTATCCTCTATGAACAGCTCGTGCCCTACATTGAAGACCAATCCGTCCACCCTCGAGACACTGAAGTCTACGATCCGAGTCGCGCTCACGCTATCGACGCCTCCACGAACCCTCCACTACGGCCTCCAGCTCGAGACGAGATTCATCGAAGAAATTGAACAAACGACAGTGGTGCTTCTGAAGGAATGCTCAAGTTCGGTCATATTCCTTTCAGATGGACGAGATCCCAGGCACAGCAGCTCTTCCGACCCGATCGAACCTTGCCCGTATCTCAAAATCGATCGATGCCGCCCTCTCGCAGCAGCTGGAGGAATGGAATCTCGCCCTTTGCGACAAAGCCGAAGATTTGGTCACTGGTGATGGCATTTCAGGTATGCAGCCTGAGAAGGCCGCTGGTCCTATAATGCACGCCAAGATAAGAGCCGGACTACAACAATCTTGTGACGTCGGTACACGGCCTGACCGAACTACGACAGATATTCGGCTTGCGATAGCCAGTGAGATGTTCGACTACAACCTAGGTACCCACGGGACGACTGGCAATACTATAACGTCACTACTCTTTGGACTGTCACGCAACCCAAACATCCAAGAGAAGTTGCGCCAGCAACTCTGGACATTTATGCCTCCAGAGGTCACTCCTTTGAGTCCTCCTGACCTTTGGGAATCTTGACGGCTGTTCTTCTCTCAATGCCGTCGTTCTCGAGACCCTCTGAGTTTGGCCTCTAACACCACGTGGCCGCCCTCGTTTGTCCCTATTAATCAGCGCGTTCATTTGCCACGCGAAGAGCACGATCATGGCAAGGGCCACCATACATACGGCATTTTAGACATGGGTGGCGCACCCGCACAGATTGCGTTTGCACCACTCGAGGTCGAAATTTGAAGCGAGCGCAAGTGCGAATGAAATCTTACCGACTCCGGGTGTTGAATTAATACCAGCTATGGCTCGATAATCTGGATCCTCGATCGGATGTTTTTGCTGTCGATGATGGCATTTGGTGCAAAGCCCCGACCAGCGTGGAACTGCGCAATGTGCGTCAAGGTCCCTCTTTGCTACGGGATCTGGGACAAGTTCGACTCCCTCTCCAGCATCCTGATCTCGCTGGGCTTAGTGCCGCCGTCGGTATCTACGGCATAGCCAAACACCTGCACGCGCGGCACATCGTCTCGCCCCTTATTGCCCAGCACCTCCTACACCCTGAGCATACCGCTGCCCCCGAGGTGGGCGGCCAGCGTCTCGCAGGCGTCCTCGATAAGACCCCCGAGTCTCCCATCTCCGGTCACCCGTGTTCTCCCGCGAGAGTAGCCTACAGCAGCGGGCGATGCTTCTGAGGTTATAGACGTTCTCCTGTTACGAAGTCCGGGTCGGCAACAGCTCTTGTGGCAGGTTCGTTTGGGAAAAAAACAAAAAAAAAAAAAAAAATCTCGCTCACATGATCCCGCAGCTTGCTCGATATGTGGTAGCAGGATTTCCAGACGCGTGTTTTCAGCCGCGATGGAGCACCAAGGCCCGTATCAGAGGGAATCGGAGAATATACAAAGGGTAGGGGCAAGAGACATGGCAAACAGAGGGCTGGTGCCCGCGTGATGAAGGAGATTGGGGGCACAGCACAAACGTTTCGCTACAGCTCTTGCACGGCCATCTTTCAGGATCCGGCCTCATTTCCCGTCTTCTCCCAGCGTGGAGACGACGACGGCGATGCGCTTCGTGTACTACCCGAACGAGACACCACATACCCCGATCCGCTTCACGAGACTCTTTACAGCCACACAGCAAAGCATCGGTGTCTCGGTCTGATCGAACTCCCTCGTTGTTGCCAGAGAGGAACCAATCCAAAGCCTCGTCTTCCCACTCTCGTGTACACTACCATCTCCGACATTATGACATGTTTCGGAGTGATCGGGCCTTCTTCTTGCTCGAGGCTGAGAAAGTTGTCCCAGCTGTTGTCGGGGAGTTTCCTGATGGGGACCGGTTCGGACTGGTGACTGCGAGGAGATAGCGGTCGCGCTCCATGATACATTCTCCCAATTCGGTGATATCCTCAGCTGCAAGGTCGCCCAGGACGAGCTTGGAAACTCAAAGGGCTCGACCATGACATATCCAGATCGCAAGGTTCAGAAAGAGCGTCACGAGGAACTTGTACCGCGTGCCGACACGGGAAGGGCCATGCGACAGGCCTGGCTGACCAGGCCCCAACAGATGCTGGGGCCCGAAACACAAACAACCCACAGGACCTGCACGAATTCAGGTGTGAGACACTTGGGTGCGCCTCACGTTCTTTAAAACCTGAAAGTGCACAGGGTGATGGTCGATCTATGGACTACGGTACCTTCAACACACAAAACTTGGGTCACCCAGCTGTTTGTGCCAGTATGGAGCCGTCTCAAGCCTTGTCAGGATCTCCTTGCTGCGACAAACGTCCAACAAAGTTGGATCGACTCCAAGAATACCCCAAGGGCCGCAGTAACCTTGAGTGAGCGACTCCCGCCGGCGACTTTGCAGGTCGCAATCACCATGAGGACGCTCAAAAGGCGAAAAGTATGGTTCATCAACCTCCAACCAAGGGAGTTCTCTACGAACCCTGTCCAGAGAGGTAGCCAGGAGGCCTGCGGATACGAAGAGGAAGTGCAAGGCGCGCCCTCGAGCAGCAGCACCCTGGTATTCGAGCTCCTCGGGGCAATTGAATACTATATATATTACTGTCTGGCTTCTATTGCCAGCGCATACCGGTACGTTAAGAAGCTCGCAGGCCTCGAATTTATTCGGCATACATTAACATCCCATAGCATACCAGATCTCTCTGATCTCGAAAATGCCCGCTACAAGGACGAAACAGCACAAGAGTTCATTGATAAACGCAGGGAATACCTACAGCGTGAGCTGAGGGAGTCACAAGCAAACCATGATGCCGCCAACATCGGTCGAGCCTGCGCATGACGCGGTGGCCAGCGGAGAGGACACTCAACAAGATGTGCCTGGCCCTATCACGAATAAAAGTATCTATCTGCGCCCCGCTCCTAACGCGGACGTTCCGGGTATGAAGGCCATTCTCAATTTGCAATATTACTCACGGTATTCGTCCTTCGGAACTGGCAGAGATAGGCGATGATGACATGTATCAGCGGCTGGAGCATTCAACCGATTTCTACCATCAACGGCGAAGCAACGCACGTCATAGCCGTCCCTAGCATGGCAAGCAGAGTAGACGGAGCAATGATGTCCACACTGTCGTCGTTTCAAATCAGGAGAAATAACAAGAATATCGGGACCGCGGCCAGAAATCCCAAGCTTACAAGAGCTTTAGGTCCACGTCTGTCGGTAGTGCTGCCCACCCATATTGCAATAAAAGCTGGAGCAGCCACGGGGATCAAGATGAATCCTGCACCCTGAGGGTCCCAGGAAAAGACTTGGAGGACAAAGAGTGGCAAGACGGCGTCCAGGGACGTGATCAACGCGACCTGAACGAAAGTCGTCCCGGGAAGCTCTGCAGCCCAACGTCCGCGAATACTCTCCTGGCTAGATAGGTGGCTCCCGCTAGAAGTCGAGGCATGAAGCATCACGTCTTACTCACAGTATTTGAGGGTCTCGTCCGCCACGGGTATTTCAAAGGAAGACCTCACACTTCCCTCTGAACTCGGGTGCAAAGAGACATCACCAGAGAGACGGAAGACAGACATCAACGTGTCATTCTCCAATCACTCAGCGCGGTTGGCACAGACAGACAACCTGGCTGGGTAAGCCATCTCCGAACATCTGATCAATCCCTGCCGACAACGGACAGAAAGACATGTGGCAACAAGGGCCACCTCAGACCACCACCACTGACTGCGGACGCGTCTTCTGACATCCCTGCGATTCGACCGCATGCAGAATTTTCCTGTTCCGAAGAGCCCCCATCTTATGCTCGTCAAAGAGGTGTCGGTCGGCCTCACCTGATGGACAAAACAGAGACTTCGGCCCTTCTGGGTGATGGCGGAGCTTCGCCAGGCAAGCGAAAACACCTTCTATCACTGTCAGACATCCATTTGGCAGCCTGCTCGTGACCAACTTGGGCTGATTGGGACTTGATACGCCATCGATAGGCTCCACTCCCTCATCATGGTAGCAAAACATATCAGGGGACTTTTACGGGGCGTGGGGCTTTATCGTGTCAGATAGGCTCCTCTGTGGGTGCGGACTCGATCCTCCGAGGCGTTCATCGTGGCCAGATGCGCCTTGGCCATCTTCACTGACTCATTTCTCTACGGCGTGGTATGTGCATGGGCCTCCGAATTCCAACCATTTCATTGACGTGTCGCAAGGTGATCCCAGCGTTTCCATTCACACTCGTGGATGGTGCCTGCTAAAGCGTGGAAGACACCATTCGTGGTCTATTCCGATGCGAGCGTCGTCTTCTGCTCTCCTCTCGTCGTCCAGTAAACGAGCAGAAAGTGCCCAAGAGGAGAGGAAGCGAGAAAGGCTGGGAGGAGACGCGACATGTTTACCCCATTGTCTGTCTGCTTTGCATTGAGAGTAGACTGAGTTCAGTGATTGTCGAGGGCTGCTTCACCAGCCGCTGAACATACAGTGTGTCGACGCCTCATTCATTCTGGTCTCTGAGAATTGTTACAAAGGGTATTCTCCTTCACGAACGTCTCCTCGGCTCCCATCCGAGGAGCGAGTTGGCATATCGTCGAGCAGTGGTACATTGAGATCTTCAATGTTGGACCCAGCCATCCGCTAAATGGCCTCAGTCGGCCCAGGGACGTCAGTGCTGTTGGGTTGCTATGCAGGAGGCAGTCCGGTCACTTCGCCTGTCGCGGGCTATCTAGTTGACCGTATCGCCTCGCACGGCTACCACATTCTCTCTGCACGAGCCAGTTTCCTTGGTGGAAAATCAACACCACTGGAATGCTGGACACTCGCTGATAATCTTGCCCAGCACCGTCCTCATCTGCTCTCGCGCAGCTCCCAGACTACTACGTTTATGGGCACAACCTCTGGGCTCGAAATCCTCGGACTGGTTGGTCACCAGCTTTAGCCATGGCGGCACTCCCAGGGCCGCTTCTATGACTCTGTCTTCTAAGATTAATGGGTGGGAGGAACAGGTAAAAAGACCTCGTCCCAGTGCAGGCACCTCCTCCTCCTCCTCCTCCGATTGAGACCACTACCGCGCATACATACCCTCTTGGTCCGCTGGCGGGCGCACGTTGCGCCATCTTCATAGCGGCAGTGCTCTTTCAGATTGTCTCGACTGCTCTTCTGTCTATCGGCAACTCTACAGTCTAAATGATCCTCGGGCGAGCGCTGCAGGGAGCTTCGAGTGCCCTTACACGGACGGCATCAGCAGAATGCAGAGACTAAACATGACCGCAGGCGCAGGAGCAGGACAAGCCATCGAAGATGAGTACATTCTTGAAAATGGGTACATTCTCGGTCGAGAACTGCGAGACTATCTCAGGTCTCGCAGTCACAGGGGCGAGGGTCTTGAAAGATGGATGCAGTTGTATCAGATCTGATGTCCCTCTTCCGCGAGCGGATAGCTGCCCTCACACACACCGGCGACACGGTCAGCAAGGACGAATTGGGACCAAATACGCTGTTTTGCAGCTTCGGCATGAACCTCGCTATGGTGCTCTCTCCGCCGATGGGAGGAGTATCGTTAAAGGACAGTGGGTACGGCGCAGTCTATGGAGTTGTGTTCGGCCTTCTCTCGCTGGACCTCATCTGGCGACTGGGGATCTTGGAGAGGAGCACTGCGACAGAGTATGGAAAGACCCGAGGACGAGGGCTACTGGAGAGTCGCTGTTGGAGATCACGGTACACCTGTTATCATTGCCTCGCCTACGGAGTCGGACGTTTCTGAACTCGAGCTCGCCTTCTCAAACATTCAGGACCGGGAAGAGACAGCTCAAGTGGACATTCTGGAGAATCAAGGCCCCAGTGAGAGATCCCATGAGCTACGACAGTGGATACTTGTACTTCGAGACCTTCGTCTCCAGGTCGCACTCTGAACAGCCGGGGGCATGTTTTGGTACGAGGCACGCAGTGAGCGTTGTTGGAAATTATCGAAAGGAATTGCCCAATCTCCAGAAGGGCGACTGCGTCAACGCCATATGCCTTTTATACACATCATGACTGGGGCTGATGACCTTACCCCGATCGAACCACGGCATCTTCGGAAAGAAGCTGACATTGCGATACTCTCCAAGTTCAGTATATATTGATGTTGCCTCTCAATACACCGAGCTCCCGGGCTTCAACGCGACTCTTTATGTCCGCAGCTTGGATGGAACCATACCCACGTCGTTGTTCCATCAAAAACTGCCCTTCTGAACCTGGATTTGGGTTGAAAGAGTACACGGGACGTTAAGCAAATATTGACGGATAAATCTCGTGATTAGCGGAGGGAAACTCAATGACATGTGTGCAGGGTTTTGACGGCAATGACCGTCGTGGTTGATGATTGCAGTGCATGATGGCATGATGGCTGCTTGAATTGCTGCTACGAACCCTCGATTCTGTTCCCAAGGATGCAAACGGCTGGTATTCGACTGGAACTATCGGCCACGATGACGGTGTCAGTGTGGCAAACTCTCCAGGTGACTTTACTGGGCTGTTCGCTGAAGCTATCCGCTCCAGACTCTGTTCGAGCGTCGAAGATATTTTGACGATATCCCCAAGGGCAGATACGGCAACCTATTATGATGATGGTGACACGTTTCCGTGCCCAATGCTCCCTCAGGACCAAGTATGCTGGGTCGCACGCAACTATCTTGAGACCCTTTGGGGTTTCAACAACAATATTTGATTTGATACGAGGCCTTCAAGGCGTGTTGTGTTGCATTGTGTTCGGCCACTAATTGTCGCCATGTACAGCTGAGATCGGCGAGCCAACTCTGCAGGCATTTGAATTGGTTCTCAATTCTTCTGTTACCACCGGATCGACATTCGCGATTGTTCAAGCTACAAGAAGCACAAATCACATCTATAGGTTCCAGCTGCCCGTATCAACGTTGCTCTTGTCAAGCGTCCGAATCGTTTGTACTTGGAGAGCGTGAAGCAATAGACGAGAAAACGGACCGCGGTTGTCGGGTTTTGAGTCGACCACATTGTTGGCACTGGCAAAGCCTTTACATCGTTGTGTAGCAACACTGCGAGATCAATCCCGTCCATCACAAGATTGCCGTGGTCATCAAATGACGATCCTCACGCCGATGTGTCAGAATTCCTGGTCCCAATGGACTTGAGACGACCAATTCAATTTCCTCAGAATGCTTTTGATTGTCTCACGCTTATTGTCGAGTCCAAGAGGGAGGGCACAATCCGCTCATAACGAGTTGGGAACAGGCTGTCTGCGCTCGCCGACGAAGCAATTCCAGCTGCTCAATGGTGGACAATCCAATCAAATGCTTGGAGTTGGTGCCCAAGAAGACCAGAATGCCAGTCAGACCGATATCGGACTCTGTTGTGCATCGCTAAACAAGTCTTCCGCATCATTCCAGCCCGCAGATGGCAGCCTGTGTCGCCGCAATGTACATCGTACGCCGTGAAGCCAGTGGGATCGGAGGAGGAATGGGATCGGAGGAGGTATGGAATCGGAGGAGGTATGGATTCGGAGGAGGTATGGGATCAAGGAGGTATGGGATCCGTGAAGGAGCTTGTCGAACAGTGTTGGAGCATCACTGGCATCTGCAGAAGCTGTTGTGGTATCTGTCAAGATGTGCAGGTAATGACCGCGCTTGAAAAGGTGCAGTCTTTCCATCCAGGTTGACCGGTGGGACAAGGAAATGTGTCAATCCTGGACTCAATGGAAGATGTGAGCGAGATGCAGGAACAGTAAATCTCCTCTTCTTTTACCTAAACGGAAGAGCGCTGATCGAGATGCGGGATGTCATGCGATAGGAGCGACGGATAGATGAGGGCGAGTGAAAATATTTTCACGTCAGCTGGGGTACTACAAGTGTATAACTACAGTAATTCCTATGATCCCATCGAGATCAAGTAATGCGAGCCCAAGTTTTGATTGAAAGTGGCACAAGTAGCGGTGACGTCTAGGCCTGACCATCTAAAGGTCAGCCTAATGGATCCCCTAGGTAGGTACGTTTCGGGGTGTAAAGGCACGCCGAGCGAGGTGAAAGGGGCGAGTAAGGTTAAAGGGGTGAGCGAGATCAAAGGGGCAAGGGAGGTTCAAGGGGGTGAGCGAGGTCAAAGGGGCAAAAGGCACCCCTGGAAAGGCTGCAAGAGGGCACCCAAGCCTTGATTCAGTTTCAGTTGCCCGGGCGGCTTTGCGGCCGAGGTCCGCGCAGGCTTGTCAGTGGTGGTGGGCTCTCCAGGCCCAGTAGGAGCCCAGGTGGTGGTTGGAGCCCAGGTGGTGGTTGGATTCCAGGTGGTGGTTGGATTCCAGGTGGTGGTTGGATTCCAGGTGGTGGTTGGATTCCAGGTGGTGGTTGGAGCTCAGGTGGCTGTTGGGTGGTATGTTGGGGTGCTGGCTCTTGGGCACTGACCTTAAAGTTGGCCCACGTCCCAGACCTTTACGCGCCCAGAAACAGCCCATGACCCGTAAATGATTCGCTTGATGATTACATGCCTACCTAGCTAGGTAATCTTGGGGCTTGTCTGGGATCTGTGATTAGGCGAGGTTCCAACCAAGACCAACTTTCAATTCCCCCCCAGACTCACCTAAGACCCACCTGAAACTCACCTGAAACTCACCTGAAACTCAACTGAAAAGTGAGCGAGCCACAGTCGGGCCTCACCACCGATGGACCACGATATTGTCCCGCCCGCAAAAGACAGCGGCCGCAATTAGGCAAATAAGACTCCTCTGACGCTTCGTGATACTTTTCAAGACCACCTTATCACCCCTCGCCCACGCCCCCGACTATGCTCGAGTATCTCGCCGAAACGATGCCGCGGTCAAATTTTCACCGCGGTTGAGTCTTCACCTCCACCGACCTGAAGCCCTCTGTTACCTCGACTCACGACTCACAGGTACGTCAGAGAAGAATTAAGACGACAATGGGATACGATGTATACGCGCACCGCGACTGAGAACCCCTTTGTTCGGCAACTTCACATCGATTTCAGAACCTCAGATCCGCTCTGCGCCCCACGACCTCTTCCAAAGTGAGAAGTCGACACCATACGATGGACCCAGAGCGTCATCTGAGCGCTCAGTGTCGCGACCCTGCGCTTGACATCAATAATCCTCGTGAGCCTGGTTGACGCCGAAAGCAGCGAATGATCACCTACGGAGACGACACCTTGAGAGAAATTTGAGAGCGCCCGGTACCCTCGATCGAAGACGACTCTATCATATCCAAGACACATCACCTTCCTGGCCGCTACCCTAGCGCCACCTCTCCAGGTCTACAACCTCGCATCTCTCGTCCTCGACAACTCCCGGCGGCCTTTGTCTACGCCTCCAACCGCACTCCTGATTCCTGACCGTCCTCCGCCTCCACCTCATGAACCTCCAGTCAGACAACTCTCCTCGCGCTATCCGACCTTGGCCCTCATACCAGGCAGCGAAGCGATGGAAGCTCAAGTTACGGATGACGAGGAGGATGTGCACAGAGCAGGGCAAGTCGTGGACACATCCAAGGTGGAGATCAAGCGTCCGTCGCTTCCTTTACACCATGAACAGACGAAACCTGTCTCCGTTAAAGGAGGACTGGACATCCGTTAGCTCATCCGGTGAAGGATTGACGAGAACGGAGAGACGGTCCCAGAACGCACAGTGGATTCGCCACCGGACGACCTGTTGTTCCAGCATCTGCCCGCACCTCTCATCGATTTCGCCAACCGCCATCCAGTCACCTTAAGTCATATTCCGAGGAGAAAGCAAGGCCGTCGAGCCCAATACGAATACAACCTGGAAGAGCAGAGTCTCTAGCTGTGGCATTGAAGAGCCAGAAGGCCTGGGAGAAATTGACTGCGGAGACAAATGCGAAGATCGCTCAGTACAACCAAAGCTTCAGAGATTGGAACAGGGATGGAGATGCTCTGGAGTCCCGTGTCGCCGCCCTTGAAGCTCAGCTTGTCGGGAGAGGCTGAATAGAACAAAGCCCTAAGAGCCGAGCCCAATACATTGCCTCTTACTTCGGCAGTCCGAGTCGCTGTCAGACGCTGTCAACTCCCTCAACACCGAGACCTCCGAGCGGAAGCGCCTTGAGGAGGTTTGTGATCGATGGCAGAGCAAGTCCGAAGAACAAGATCGAGCCATTCAAGACCTACAAACTCATATCTCTAAACAAACCGCCGGACGAGCAGGTGCCCACAGAGAACCTCCTGTCGAGTCATTCCGCTACCTCGATACTCGTGCACAGCCTCCTTACCCCCAACCCCAGGAAGAGGGCTATGATATTGCTCGAGACCTCAACGACTACCACTGGCGACAACCGACCCCAGCCTCACGCTCAAGGGTCGCTCAGCGCCCTGCCTCCGCTCGTACCTCTACGGCCGATGAACGTCCCCTGGGAGGAGATCAAAGTCTGAAGGTCCGCGAACCGCGAGAGTTCAAGGGTGAACGCGACGATTACCCACAATATCGTCAGCAGTTGGTACACTTCATGAAGGCGAATGCATCAGTCTGGCGAAATCAGGGGCCTGGGTCGGAAGTCCTCGTTATTGCCCCAACTCTCGTCGGCGCAGCTCTTATTACCGCTGTGCAGTATATCCCTGACTCTGCTTGCAGACGCAGATAAAGTGTGGCGCTCCGCTGCCGAAGCTCTCGAATCTTTCGACAAAGTCTACGCTGAGCGACACCGGGACAAGTCAGCTGAGATCGAATATGGTAAGCTCTCCAAGAAAGACGATGAAACAGTCACAGAGTTTGATGCGCGGTACCGACGTCTTGCGATGGTGCTCCGGACCAGAGTACAGAGTCCTCCCCCTCGTCGAACGATCAACCGATCCTCCCCATTGCAGAATGTCTTCCGGGTGTCACAGTTGCCACCTACATGGCGGCAAAACCCGTCGGTGCCTCTGACCTGGTGCGGATGGTGGAGTTCTTCGTTTCCGGAGGCGACCGAAAATTGCATATGCTTACTCGGAACGACCGTCTGACCAACACCTTGTCAAAACACGTCTTTCAACCGTGATCAGATGATCCAAGAGCCTCGTCGGAGTGGCCCCGGTACCCGTTGAGCAATTTGGAATTGGCATGTGTGGTGTCGCTTTTGCTGAATGAGACGTTTGGCGACGAACATCCACCTGCCCGAGAACGTCTTGATCCACGACTTCACACAGAAACTTGACGAGCGTCAGTGGCGAAATGTCAATGGTTGTGAACCAGACTCCGACGACGACCTTATTGACTACTACGAGAAGAAGGAACGCAAGATTCTCACCAGTGGCTGGCGTAAGAAGACGAAGCAGTCTCTCCTCCCCAAGCCCACCAAGAAGGTCAAGTTCTCAAATCAAAAGGTCTCTAGTTGCGAACGACTTTCCTGAGCACCTACCATCAAAGACGCTAAAGTCAAGGTCGACCTTCAGGCTCGAAATTCTTGTTTTGACTGTGGCAAAGGCGGATGCCGACCCGGTCGCCCTGAATGCAAGCTCACCAAGCATGATGAGAATGTCTCTGCAGTGCAAGAAGACGATGGAACCTCCGACTCGGGCCAATCCCACGTTCCCGATTCTGAAACCGAATCTGACTATGCCTCCTCCGATGAGTCTGTAAGCTAGTCGGCCCGAGTCGTGAACGCGCTCAGGACTCGTGAAAACCACTGCCAATGCGTGATAAAGACCAATGCGATGGTCTCACTGAAGACGACACCACCGGTGAGACGATTTCCTTTATGGTCCTTGACCCTTGAAAAGGTTGATCACATTGTTCTTGACTGCACGGTGGGTACCCGTTACCCAGGAGCACCCCAGGCGATTAAGGTCCCCTTGACTCAACCCATTGAGCCCTCGAGGACTATTACCAGTACTGCCGTGATTGATACTAGCGCTACTACTTGCTTCGTCTACAAACGTTTTGTCAAAAACCAGCAAGGCCTGGAATCGTTCATGACTCGGCTGCCAAAACCTCGAGCAGCGTCTATGGCCGATGAGAGTAGGTCAAGAATCTCACATAGTATCGAACTCGATCTGGTGATCGGACAACACAGCGAGCCAATCGTCTTTACGTGTCGTACCCCGATTGAACTATCCCATGATCCTTCGTATGGCCTGGTTACAGAGGCACAACGTGATCCCAGATTGGCGAGCACGATCACTTACTTTCTCTCACACTCGCTGTGATGGAGCCTGTTTGCCCTGCCAGGTGGAATGCACCCTGCGAGATGGAATGTGCCCCTTCAGATGGAATGCACCCTGCTCGATGGAATGCCAGATGGAATGTACCCTACCAGATGGAATGCCAGATGGAATGTACCCTACCAGATGGAATGTACCCTACCAGATGGAATGTACCATACCAGATGGAATTCACCCTTCAGATCGAATGTCATGGAATGTACCCTTCAGATGGAATGTCCCCTTCAGATGGAATGTCCCCTTCAGATGGAATGTGCCTGGCCAGCTGGAATGTACCTTCAGATGGAATGTACCCTGCCACATCAGATGGAATGTGTCCTTCAGACGGAATGTGCCCTGCCAGATGAGATGGAATGTTCCCTGCTAGATGAAATATGCCCTTCAGATGGAATGTTTCCTTCAAATGGAATGATTCCTTCAAATGGAGTGTTTCCTTCAAATGGAATGTCAGCCAGATGGAATGTACGGAGTACAGCTCCCAAGGTTCTCCTGACACCCTGCGGAATGTGATCATTGATGGAGTCTCCAGTGGACCCATTTCACTGACCGAAAGCTGTGAGTCTCTTACAAAAGGAGAGCAGCTTGACTCTGTCGCCTATTTACCACGGGGATACGATAAGGAGACGGAGCCCTTTCCTTTTGTGCAGTCAACCCAGAGGATTTTGATACCTTCATGAAAGGGAAAGGTTACGGTTCCACGACAGATCAAGTACCTCAATGCTACCACGATGAGTGGGAGTTGTTTTCCAAGGAGAATGCTGATGCTCGCCGATGCTCTCCCGCCGCACCGCCCTAGCCTTGACCACGAAATCAAGCCAACAGAAACGGACCCTCACAAGCTCCCGCATAAAAAGCCCTACCCCATGACGAGGTTAGAAGGTGAGGCTGCCCATAAATACACTCAAGAGCACTGATTCAAGGGATATATTCGACGATCGAGCTCAAGTCGTACTTCTCCCATGATATCGGCAAAGAAGCCAGGAGGTGGGCTACGGTTCTGTGTCTATTACCGTGCATTGAATGCCATTACTGTCAAGAATCGCTACCCAATCCCGCGGATGAAGGATCTCCTCAGCCGATTGTGGAAAGCCAGATATTACACGAAGTTGGATATCATTGCCGCCTTCAATAAGCTACGCATCAAGGAAGGAGGTGAGTGGGAAACCGCTTTCACGACCAAGTTCGGCTCCTTTGAATACCTGGTGATGCCATTTGGCCTATGCAATGCCCCGTCATCCCTTCAAGGGTACATCAACGATGCTCTACAGACCTTTTTGGATGTCTTTTGTACGGCCTATCTGGACGACATTCTAACTCACAGTCAAACACTGTAAGAGCATATTAGCCATGTCAAAGGGGTTCTGGCCAAACTACGCAAGAAGGGCCTTTGTATGGACGTCGCAAAGAGTGAATTCCATGTGCGGGAAGTCAAATACCTTGGCCTTGTCGTGTCGACACAAGGCAGTCGAATGGACCCAGACAAGGTCAAGCAAGACCATCCATCCTTGAATGGGCAACTCCACGCACAGAAAAGGATATTCTATCGTTCCTTGGATTTGCCAACTTCTATCGGATGTTTATCGAAGAATTCAGTCGGATCGCTCTGTCGATGACAGCACTAACAAAGACAGATATCCCCTTTCATCGGACCGCCTCCTGCCAGCGGGCTAGGAGGCTTAGTCATCGCCGCTTAGTCATCTAGAAAGGGATAGGGCAATAGTTGACATCATCATGACGACTGTTCATGCAGGCGGCTGCGCACGGACCCTCAATTTTCGGAGCTGAACGTTAGGCACGTGCGCAGACCCCGTGAATTGACCATCCGACCCCAACCTGGAAACCTACCCGGAAGTGGACTCGTCCGATCAGATTGTGGCCGGAGCCTTTTCTCAGACGCACAATCGGGTACTGATGCCCGTTGCCTTCTTTTCAAAGGAGATGACTACTACCGAGTGTAACTACGAGATCTACGACAAGGAGCTGATGGCCATTATCCGAGCCGCGGCCTCGACCAACATCCTCTTCACCTGAAGGGGAAACATCCGCACCAAACTGCAGCTGCGTCGCCTAACAATGACCTTCGTAGCGAAGCCAAACCGCACCTCCGTGAAAAGAACCACAACAAGAAATGGGCAAGAGGGGCTCAAGAGGCTCCAGACCATCACTGCCACAAGCACACATATCCTGAAGACAATTGCCGCAAATGCATGGGCAGGCCAATTCGCCGAGATCAAGATCGAAGGGTCGGTCGGTCAGAGGCCAAATACAAGCATAACCTCCAGAACAAGCTGAGCGGCCACGCCGCGACCTTGGCTCGCAAGGCTTTCCGCAATGAAGTGGTCAATGCCATCGATGGCCTTTTGGCTCATGTCTCCGACACCTCTGAAGAGGAGGAAGTCCTAGACGCTCTGGCTCGGATGTCATTGAGCGTCCCACCCTCGAGCTCTTGCCCCTTTGCCCACTGCGTGCCGACCTTCTTGAGCCCGCCCGACTGCTCTCCTTGGATAAGGAAGATTTAGCCTTGAGGGCAGACCTCAGACCTGGTCAGATGTCGGGCTGATTCGATGCTCGCTTTTTCCTCTTTTGCCATCTGGATTATGATGCAGCAGTACGCACAGACTAGATGAGGGAAGAGACGACGAGTATCGGAGGCATTTTGTCTTCATCCTTGTACACTCTGGGCCATGGATCAACTGGCTGCTGCCGTTGCCCGGCCTTCGAAAAATGGCGACCTGAACTCGCGCCAGTGTTGACCCAGCGAAGTCCATTCAGGTGCTATCCGACCACAGGACGTTCGAATACCTCATGACAACAAAGCAGCTGAATCGGTGACAAGCTAGATGGGGTGAATTCCTGTCCGAAATCCACTTCGAAATCAAATATCGTCCTGGGAAATAAGGGGCAACACCCGATGCTCTTACCCGAAGGCCCAGAGATGCCCTACAAGGACAACAGGATCTCCAAGTTAAACACCAGCACCAAGTGATATCAAAGCCCCATCATCTGCATCCTACCGTGCGCAGGAGGATATCTCCCGGCGTCTCTCCCTCTTGTGCCATATGGCTGATGACTATGTACGTTCCGAGACTCTCCCTGACCAGGTTCGACAAGCCTATCTGCGAGAAGAGCAATCTCTTACAGAGCTGCCGTCATCAGTGTACAGTGAACAGTTGATCGACATTCCATCTGGCTGACATTCCATTCGAAGGGGACATTCCATCTGAAGGGGACATTCCATCTGAAGGGGACATTCCATCTGAAGGGTACATTCCATGACATTCGATCTGAAGGGTGAATTCCATCTGAAGGGAACATTCCATCTGGCAAGTAACATTCCATCTAAAGGGTACATTCCATCTCGTCTGGCAGGGTACATTCCATCTGGAGGGTACATTCCATGTGGCAGGGCAGGGTAGCGGACACGGTACACACTGCTCTGGCACGACCGCTGGCAAGAAATTCGGTGTCGCCAACAAGGCCAATGTCTACGCCCTGAAGGTGCAGACTGTCGTCTCTCGGACAACCAAGTGCTCCACCGAGGGAGACCCTGCGCTCCTGATGGCGACGAACTACGGTTGGGGCTCCTTCAAGCCTTCCACGATAACTCACTCGCAGGCCACCCTGGTAGGAGCAAGACTTTTGCCAGCCTGTCCCGTGTCTACTACTGGCCCGGGACGCTTGAAGACGTCCGCCGCTACGTCAAGAATTGCCACGTATGCCGTCGCTCGAAAGCCAATCGAACTGCCTACTCCGGTACCCTGATGCAGCTACCTATCCCTCTGTTACCATGGCAAGAGATTGCCCTCAACTTCATCGTTGAACTCCCAGGAAGCAAATAGCCTCTGACGGAGGTCTCTTCTGCGAATCCCCTAGTAGTAACGAGAGGTCACGTCCTCAACGTGACTCCGACTTGTTAGACGGCGCAGCCTGGAGGCTGTGCGCCCCGTGGAGACTCGTGGTTTACGTTGACGATCCCGAATCTCCGTCTGCAGTGGATCATTATTACCGGTTACGTGCTTGGAGGGACTACGGTGAGCTTCCCATTCACCTTTGCAGTAACTTGGTGGTAATGGATCGATTCTCCAAGTGAAGATATTATATCCCATGTCTCAATATGGCCTCTCCTCTCAGCGTGGCACGGCTCTTGTTGCGAACAGCTATCGCGAGGCACGGCGTCCCAGAATATATCACCTTGGATCGAGGACCTCAGTTCACGTCGGTGGTATGGGACGGACTCTGTCGACGCCTCATAATACGCAAGCGAATGTCAACTACTTGACCGTTCATCCAGAGACTGGTGGTCAATCAGAGAGCTCTAATCAGATCATGGAGCAATACATGCGTGCCTACTACAACTACCTGCAAAACGACCGGGTAGATTGGTTACCCCTGGCAGAATTTGCCGCCAATACTCACGACTCTGGAACAACAAAAGTGTCGCCATTTTACGGCAAACTGTGGATTCCACCCACGATTTGGTATTGAGCCCGTCAGCCAACAACCATCAATGACGGCCCCAGCAGCTCTTAACGCTGAATTAGCTGATCAGTTCGCTGAAGGAATACTCAGAGTGCTGTTCACTCCGCCCTGAAAGAGAAGATGGCATGTACTCAGGCCAGCTATGCGGAATTCGCCGATCGACACCACAACGCCTCCCCAGCTTACAAGGTCGGAGACAAGGCTTGGCTGAACGCGAGGAACATTCGCACTGAGCGCCCGTCAAAGAGGTTGGATGCGAAGAACTTGGGACTCTTGGAGATATCAGAAGTCGTCAGCTCCTCATCTTATCCATCTGTGGTGTGACCAGTGGATGCCTGGGTCTATAAACCAGTGTCTGGTATGTTATTTACCGTCTCTTTCCCTTGAAAAAGCCTCGGTAGCATGGGAAGGTTGCTGATATCGACGACTTCTCTCTATACAGTGGACCATACACGCTTTATCCCGAATGCTTGCCGACTCAAGCTCCCATCGAGCATGAAGATCCACGATGTATTTCATACAAGCCCTCTTCTTCACCCAGATATGAACGACCCATTAACGTTACCAGGTCAGTCTCATCCTGCTCCTCCACCTGTGGTGACAGTCCGAGACGAGGAGCGAGCTGAAAGAAGAATGGGAAGCCGAAGATATCCTCGACTCGTGTAAGACAGACAGGACAACACCGGGGGCTGTGGGCTTCGGAGGATCACGCAAGATGCTTTGTCGGCCCACCATCACTCTCCCTTACGATCTTGTGTGAACGAGGTACGAGGACTGTACTTGGCCAGTCAATCAGTCAGTAAAACCGTCAACCTACCGATCCGCCCATCTGCTGGCCGTACACCTCAACCAATTCCGGCGCTGTCGTGACGGGGTACCGCTCACCGGCCTTCCAGACATCCGCAGTCTTTGTCTCTTGAAGGCCAGCTGGTTCCAAAACAGCATCAGCGTCCATGACTGATCCGAATCACGCACCGCTACAGCAACGCACACTGCCCGCCACGGAGGAAGAGCAGTCTCCAGTACCGCGTGAGCTCCGAGTCGTGGTCGCCCAGGCCATCGCATCCGAAGCCCTGGTCCGGGTGTCCTTGTGCATCCCTCGCCCAAGCCGGTAGGTCTAATATCTCCATGAGGTCTGGGTATCTCTCAAAAGCCTGCAGGCAGATGCTGACGGAGGGTTGGCCTGAATTTAGCAGTGCGAAGAACGCCTGAGGGCTTTGGAGTACAAAACCTACACCGAACCTAGCTGGCAGGACTGGAGGTCTGTGCTACCAGGATGCGACGAACCGATCAGAGACTCTCACGAAGCCAACCAAGCAAAACCAGGTCCCCCGTCCCCTCCCCGCAGAAGTATGATGTCGAGACGGCAACAATGAAAACTGTGGACACTGGTAGAGAGCCCAAGAGACGGATCAGAGACGTCGAGAAAAGGAAACAAGCGCAGAAAGCATGACTTCTCTGCCGAAGGAAGACACGTCTTCGAGGGCGAAGACACCGTTTCTGAGGAGGTAATGCCACGGTCGCTGGAGACATCTGGTCAAAATATACGCTGCACAGTCACATATCAAAGTCACGTGAAATGGGCATGACAGCATCGTCCTGGGCAAATCCAAATATGGGGCAGCATTATGACGCCGCACAACAGCACAAGAGTCTCCCCATACTGAATACTGCGGGAATACTTGGTGGATGGTCAACCATGTAGTCCCCCTGCGTATTGCAGACCTGGTTGACCTTTGTCCCTCGAGCAAAGGCAAATTCTTCTCGTGGCCTCGATTCCATCTGGCGTGTCGAGCCAACGTCTCACTCCGGTTTCCGCAAGGACTTCCTCTCCTTCAGTCGCCCCAGTGGCGGGTTTCTATCTATCTCACCTTGTCGCGAACGACTGCAAGAAAGCAGCTCACGAGAAGCGCGCCAGATCTACCAGACGTCCTTCAGTCCGAAACAAGACTTTTATGCATGCTGAGCATCAAAAGATCAGCCATCTCTAATGGCAACCCAGAGGATCGCCAACATGCACTTACAGGGGTTCGCCCTTGTGAACAAGCTCATCTCGTGGTTGCCAAATCGGGCTGCCCTGTTTATCTTCATACTCGGTCGGGTCGCAACATGGTGGTATCTCTTCTTCAGGTCTGGTGCACTGACGGCTTCCGATTACAAAATTTGGCCTGTACTTCCGGCCATTGGTAACCGGTGTTGATGAATGCTTGTCACTGACCGACAGTGATATGTTGAGTAGGACGAATCCGCATCAGTGTGGATTGGACGGGCGTAACTGGCGTCCTTTTGAAGGATCAGATATCCTGGTTGGTTGTCCACCCGGCTGTTCAAAAGTCATTCTTACCAAAGCAATCACCATCGGCAATCAGACCGTTGATCATCGCCCCCTCGTCATTGGGGGCCGGCAAGGTCAATGGTTCTTCCACCACCTATCAAGGAGATTCATTTGTTTGTGGCGCGGCGATTCATGCTGGCCATATTCCAAGATTTTTATGGCAACTGCGGCCTGCTCCGTCGAGAGAGAGAGTCTCGAAAATTTGTAGGAGATTCGCGAAACGGTATCGACAGCCTCAGTTTTGATTCAAGCTTTCCCCTCTCATTTTCTTGAGATCAATATCGTGTAATTACAAAGACCCTCGTTGGAAACTGCTGACGGTGCCCTTGACTACGAACCTACTTCTACCATCGACGACGAAGTCGCCCTCGGAACCTTTCGCTATCGTCCTTGCCGCGGTCTCGATCCATGGCGCACTTATGTCAGACCCTCTGGGTGAGCCCGCGATTTCGACCTTCGAGGATATAATTTGTGCCGGGCTAGGAAGATTCCTCCGAGCTGGGCACCCTTACAGCCGTCGTATATCGGTCTTGGATCTGCAACACGGACAGAGTGAGACTGGAGAAATATCGCTACTGGACCGCGTGCGTTCTCAGGGTCTGGAGTGGTGCACTCTCCAACGTCTTCAAGCAGCTTATGTCCATGAGGGAAGATCGAAGGTCGACTCGTCCTCTCGATCGGGCTCGGTATGGTGACGTTCTTCGTCGTTAAACCGGCCCTCCATTTTTACAAGAGGGGTCACATCCAGCACTTGCCGACGTATTACCTCTCAATTGCCTTGGGTCTCGGTATGGCACAGGCCGCCTGCCACCGTACCGGAGTCTACCTTCATTTGCACCACTATATATGGCTGATACCGTATTGCCAGGCACAAGTACACTTTGTCTCCAGTCTTCATACTACCAGGGCCTGCTTCTTGGTATTTACCACAACGGGATATTTCATCGGGGGGTTTGATGACCTTCTGGAAGTCCAGATGTCCAAGGTCCTGGAGCAGTCGCAGGATGAACCGCCTACGATTCCAACTCCATTTATCGACGGGTCGCTAATACTCTTCGAATGGCCATTTCATTTTGCTGGAGCTGCAGGTCTAAGCATCCTTGTAAATGATGTTCTTAGGTTTCAGCAGTTTTTCGATGACGAGCGGGCCATACGCTTCGTGTGGAATCGAACCTCACATACTCCTACTCTGTCCTTCTACTTTCGGGTTGGTCGGATCATGGAGGATCCATATAGAGGATCGACACTGAGTGGTTTCACGTCCAAGGCTGGTGTCTGGCGGCAGGATGGAACATGCATGGTCGAGCTCATAAAGGTCGAACCAAAGTCGAAGCTCGGCAGTCTCATCCCCTTCAGAAATTGACACGGTACATCACTGAGTCCATGAAAAAAGGGGATTGACAGGGAAAGGGCTCATGAAGCTGAAGTAAGCATCTTCACCTCGGCTCGACTCCTTTCCAACAGAAGTCGCCGGTTCATCCAACAGACCCTCAGAAAGCGGTATCAACGGGCTCGGAAGCTTGCCAACCAGACATCTAGCCACTGGAAAGATCAAGGGTTTTGTCTGATTGTGCTTTGGAAATAATACCCAGCGACGCTGTGGTAGGTAAAGTACAATATCGTGAGGAGATGGGTGCAGGCAGCGTTCCCGATGCTCAAGGTGCATATTCGGGGTGACCTCGATCGAACCCGAGCGTGTCGGTCGCCACGACAGCGAAATGGTGATTCCGGATCCACTGGGCACTCTCTTCTGTGGCTTCGAGGCCGACGAATGCGCCCCTTTTTCGAAGCTGCTTCGGCCTCTTGCTCCTTGATACTGGCGTGGACATACATGCCAGTGGTGAATCCCGCGCGAAGAATGAGGATGTCCCCGTCGCGCAGCTGCGTCTTTGGACGGACGCTTCGACTTCCGCGGCGCGCGTGTGATGCGAGCATGTCCATTGCTGAGAGTTTTCTGCTCCCAAGCTTGATGGGATAGACCTTTGGGAGAGGACCTTGATCAATTTTCTTCTTTTTGGAATCATCAATGTGGCCTGGGGGAGATGAAAGAGTGTTGTCGCACGTGGCGACGCTTGTCACCGACATCTCGGAAGAAATGGCTTCCCAGGCATCCACAACCGACATGGTCCTTCGGAACCGACAGAGATTGGATCGCCGATGATGACATGTATCAGCGGCCGGAGCATTCCCTGAGGGCTTTACTTCAGGTTCGTTTTGCTCTTGTCATATGTCGCAGTCTTCGACCAGTGCTCACATGTGTTGTTTTCCAGGTCGAAGCATCTGATCTAAACTGCTCCTCGAGGGGATATGCAACTCACACAAAAGCTCTTGAAGCCATTGACTCACCAGGCGACAGTTCTGAGCCAAACAATGAAAGAACAGTGGTATAATTGCCGCCGCATTTTGAGCCACGAAGCTCCACCACGCGCCCCATGGCCTGGATGACTTCCACCGACGGCGTGTTCACTGATGGCGGTATGCTCGCCTCCACAGTGAGCTAGTTGTCCCTGATCCGAGCGTTGTTCTCAGCTTCATGATCCGAACGAAGTTCTCGACATTTGCCGGGGCCCGACAGCCTGTAACCCAGTTCCGCGTCGCGCCCTTAGCGCTCTCATGATACAAGGAACAAAGTACAATGATTACGAGTCTTGGAAATGAGCGGTATGTGCCGTTGAGTTTCTCCTGTGTATACTCGGGTATTCACTCTATTCACTCTTCTGTCCTGCACACCGGCCCGGAGGCCTCGATCGCACCTTGTGCTGACCTCACTGGCAGAGAGCGGAACAAGGCCATTGATATGTTCCTCGCCATGAGGTGTCCAGGTGTGACTGCATTTTACCACGATTTCTTTTGAATCCTGCCTCAAGTCGTGGAGATGTAATTTACCCGAGTCGGTACCCAGCAGCAAAACCTGCGGCGACAGCGCATGCAGGACGGTTGGCCTATCAACCCTGCTTCGACTTTGGGCTAATCGGGTTGGAGAGGGAGAAGATGTCGACGTCAAGAGGGGTTTTGGGTGAACGACCCTGACCGTCCCGGAGATCCTGAGCGGACCGGGTTCTCTTCCCACGACGCTTCCATGCTTCCTCGAGACACTCTCGCGATGCGAATCCTCCTAATCTTCCGATTCCAGGCCCGAGCCTGACCTAGCAACGCGAATGCTGTCCTCCTCCGACTCACATTTGACGAGCGCAATCACTGGACATTGATGAACTGTCGGTCGTGGAGAATCGACTGGAAGATGGATCGATGCGTCACATCGACCCGTCCGCCATCCCGTCAAATCACAAAGCTCCACGCCCTCTTCAAAGATCCCCCAGAACTGTGCGGCGCAACATACGGTGCGCGTCACATACGACGCCATGAAAGGGAAACGAGTCCGTGTTGTCCGGCTGGCGTAACGTTATATACTAACACCCAGATCTGGAAAAGGCACTCATCTTTCTCTTCGACTTCGGCTTTATCGAGCACCGAACAAATGATTGGCGTCAAGGGATACCCGCGAAAGCTGCTTCCCTGCCGGGCCGCCCAAGATTGGTGACAACGCATCGAATCTGCCACTGTCAGTCAGATCCTCTTCTTCGCCGTATGTCTGCTCCGCGTCGAGGACGAAAATCACCCAGTCTGCAAGCTTGCAAATGTCCGGACGACTACGATACTGTCCCTAGAGACTAATGGGATTCTCCTTTGAGCGCGTCCGTTCCGTTGAGGTTCTCGATTCCGGTTCCGCAGGCGGACCCTGCCTGAAACTTTTGACTGATCCCCCGTGTCAACATCTAGATTATCAAGGAAGGCGAATTGTTCACGTCCTTGCCGTAGCCAGGGCTGCTGACTCTTCGCTCGTTACAGATGAGTCTCGGAGGGATGACCTGACCTGCCTCGTCGCTAGCAGGACGAGTCTTTTTTGGCGTGCAGAATGTGACGCCCGTGCTCGACTCGACTGCACTCCCCGAGATGATCGAGGAGATGATGATGAACATCAACCACAGGCGGCGTCTTCTGCTCGGCGGTCAGCTGCGCGCGCGGCAGATGATTAGGCCACGACTGCAGCGGCTCCATCCTGCTCGACGCGTCCATGGAGCGGCATGGCATGGCATCTATATGGTACAATGAGTTCGAGAGGTAATCGGAAAAGGGGCGGTACACCCTCTCTCGTTGGACGCGTACTTGGGGAAGGGTGCTTGTATCACCCCGTCTGGGCCAGTCAGCCAGAAGCCAACATCCAGACACCCAGGGGGGAACAGAATTCTGTCCCCACTATTAGGGTATTCTGCCCGGATTTCGTTCCTCACTAGAGACGGAATTCTGACGGCCCCTTGCTGCCAGATGAAGCAGGAAGAAGCAAGACAACAATTTACGCGCCAGCAGGCAGGCGGCTCAGCAGCAACGAGAGCAACAAGGTGGATAACCGCGAGGACAACCACGAGGACCACCGCTATTCTTCTACACGACTACTTGATCCGGTTTTGACGGGGGCCTGACATACACAATGACGTCTTGGTCATCCACGCTAGCTTCTCGCGGCGAGGGACTTGGGAAGAGAGCGCAAGCAATTTATTCCTCGTCGTGCTCCGCTGCCAAAGCAGCTATGAAGCGACACCTGTGTCTCTGAATTTGCGTTGCTCCAGTGCCACGTTGCAAGTTGCCTTGATGAATGGCCGGCATATGAGAGCCACGTTTTGACAGGAGCGCGAACCGTCGCTGGAACACCACCTGTGGAGACGACCTCATTCATCCGATGAGAAAATACAACGTCAAGCGGATTTCAGGGATTTCTTTCGATCTGGCACTGAGTCAGGTTGAAAAGACTTGCGCTGCTCGCCTTTGACCGTTGCAATGCTTACTTACTCACTCACAGTACTTTCTATCTACCCACCTGATGAACGGAGGGCTCACAGCAAAGGAGCCCTGGATCCGACCAAAGGCACGCCGATGGCCAAGTTGTGTCAAGGAGTGTCATGGGTTGAACCCAGGACAAGGCTTGGGTCTGGCGAACCAGCGCCAAGACTAACTCCAGGACTAACGCCACCTCCGAGACACGCACGGTGCAAGGGATGCAGGATCCTGGCAACTGAGACACCGTACGCAAGGGAAGACAGACAAAGTGTAAGAGGAATGCAGGGCGTGTACGAAAGAGGAAGGACAAGAGAGAAAGGGGAAGACAATGGATATCCTTTACGGGGGAGCGTACGATATAAGGAGAGAGAAAGACGACGTTGTTCCTTCTTCCTCTCTCCTCAGATTTATCCTCCTTGTTACTAGGTTGGCCAGCTAGTTGCAGAACTCTTTCCAAACCCTCACAAGGAGGAGGGAGAGAAGAAGAACATGCAAGTCGGTACAGCCTTCATACCCCGGATGGTCGGACTCTGCACTTGGCCTCTCTTGGACTGACGACCCGGTATGTATCAGCCGCAAAGACTCGCCATGACCGCCCCAACACAAAGGTGGTTATTCACTGCTACTCGTCTCGAAAGGTTCTTTCCTCCAAGTGAGGGATTCCTTCTGCAAATCTCTGGCTGGCAGCGACCTGTCTTACAATATTACTCGTCCTTGGAAACATGTCACGCCCTTTCCATCCCATACGAAAGTCATCACTATCCCAAACCAGTATCAAACGTTGTTCGAGGGCGAAGTATTCAACATCGGCAACGGCGGCATGTCTGACCGCTTCTGATCCCCAATCTCCAGGAGGCCCATCGATATCTGAGACTGTATACCTCGACGGTACCAATCGACGGCCTCCTACACTCCAATCCCGGAGACTACTACCCTCGCTGAGACAGTCCCGAGCGCTTGGAAACAACTCGATCTCAGCTTGACACACTCGAACCTCTGCGGATTCCACAGTCAGCTTTGACGGCCAGATAAGAAGTCAAACAACAGATTGTCATGATCGAGGCTTTTGTGGCGAGAAGCGAGAGGCACTCCGGATCTCCTTCCGTTAAGCGGTGGCGGGGAGGGGCAGGGTGACTGAGCAATGCGCGACCGACACATCTAACCGTGTCGGGATCTCTTTACGCCATCCGGAGAGGGAAACGTGGCCTTTCCGCAACATAAACATGGGCTTGCGACCCAGCCAACCCAGCTCCTTGGAGACCAACAGAGGCTTGTCCTTGGGAAAGAGGTAGCGCGCCTGGTCGAGAGGATATCTTGACCTGATACGAGCGTGTCCCAGACGTTGGCCGACCATACAAGGAGCGCTTCGGCGGCAGGTTGCATTTTATCCTGTCCGAAAAAAGTAATCACCGACACATTATCGTTCGCTTGGAGACAGGGACTTAGACCCTCTCATCTTGACTGTGACGCCGTGAAAAGATGTGGTCCGAGTTCGTTGGCTATCTAATGTGGCGGACACGAGTGAGGCACTCGAGGGCGGCAATGCCACCACTCAATCTCCGATCTTTGTGCTCAAGGCCCATCTGATCGACCGCAATGGACAGGTAAATGGCCCGCCAACCAGAGGACATTGCAAGGTGTGTCAAGAATCAACCGTCGTTCGGTCGACTACTTGGCCATGGCCAACCTCGATTCCCGGCACGACTGCATGAGTATGCGACATGTGCATTGAGACATTCGGATGGATGCTCACACTGGATACATGCTCCCGTCGGACGAGCCTTTCGATCTCGCCGCCGTCAATGAACTCACAACGCAGGCCTGGGGCTACCCCCAGTTTTCATACTGGGAATTCTTCCTGGGGCCCGATGCTTCCGAGAGGCTGCGTGTGGTTCTTTTCGTACCAGGATCTGATACTAACGACACTTGGTCAAGACCTCTTTGCCTACTCGGTACTCCTTACTCGTTACTCGTAACGTTGGGCAAGCAAGCAAGCAAGTCCACCCACAGCTGCATAATGGCTTCGAGGAGATCCCGCGGATTCCACAGCTCAAGACCCCACGAGTGGTTGATCCTGGCAATCACTCCCACGCGGACTACGAACGAGACCTTCGACTCCTACCCTTTCACATTGATGTGCCCTTTGTACTGATTGGGCCTCGCGTCAGGGATTTGAAAAGGCAGTGTCTCAGTTCCAGCGGATCGACGACGTGTGATTTGACAAATTGTCCTCATTGCTCTGTTGTACGTGAGTTTCTGGAGAATCCAAGCGAAATAAGGCTACAAGA